TATATATATATATATATATATATATATATATATATATCAATCGAACTTATTTATTAAACAATTAATATTAATTGCTTATTTATTAAACAATTTAAATTTGCATTGATAAAAGTGAAACGAAGACACAGATTAGATATAAAACTCTTATATCTAATCCGTGACTTTATCATTGAAGAAGTATAAGACTTATTTCATCTGTGATAGTAAGCATGGGAATTATATTTAATTCAATTACAAAAAGTTGATAAAGTTAACAGATTTTAAAAATAATTTCTTTAATACATCCTTTCAAAAATATTATTCCATGTATTATATGTATATATGTATTATATTAATTTGTATTTAAAAATCTTTTTAATGCTTACGAATTTTTATTATTTTTATTATTATACGAATAAATGATAGATTCATAGATGAGTTGAATGATTTATGAATTAAATTGAATTATTATGAATTAAAAATTATGCTTATACTTTTTATTAATATTGGTCATAGCTATTATACAATTCAATAAAAATAATATCAATTTATGAGATTTTTTAAAAATCTTTTATCCAAGATCCAAGTATAATACTATTAAAACTAAATTTATTTACATGTATTAATGGTATATAATTATTAAAATCATATAGATATGTGTTTCTTGCTTTTTTTTTTCATTGATCAATTATTAATCAGATATCGAAGTTGTCTATTGATTGATAAATATTTATTGATTGATAAAAATTGATTGATAAAAATTTAGAATAGATATAGATAAGGAGAAGAAATAGTGGGAAAAAGACAGAGATAGATTAAAAATTAAGAAATTAGCAGCATGTTTGGAATGTCTCAAATGAAATACAAATGCAGACAAGGAATAGAAAAAGGATAAAGATAATAAGAATTGTTGAAACAATGACTGTTAACGCTATCTCTCAAATATCAATGATATCTCTTCAGAAGCAGGATAAGTAAGAATTGAAAATCAGCGTCATCTCTCGAAAATGAATGATACTATTTCTTCAAAAGTAGGATAAGATAAAGTAAGAATTAAGTATCAGTGCTATCTCTTGAGAACTTTTGATATTTAAAAAGTATCATTGATATTTGAAAGATGACACCGATAATCAATTCTTATTTTATTTTTATCTTTTTTTCACTTACTCTCTTTGTCTACATTTATGTTTCATTTGCGGCAGAGATGGCGCTGATTACTTAATTTTGAATTTATTTCTATCTTTTTCCCATTATTTGTTTTCTTTGTTTATACTTGCTCTTGAGCTTTATTTTTCTTTTAATACAATCATTCCTTTTTAATATAAGAAAATGAAGAAAACAATGTAAGAATAATCTATTTTGATATATAATGCGAATATTTTAATAATAGAAATAATGATAGGATTTAAATAAAGGAAACTTGATTCAACAACAAATGAATTAGAAATGAAATTTAAAGCATTCCTAAAACATAGTATTCAAAAATATATAATAAAATAAATTATTATTAAATACAAGAATTTATTATCACATAATCTTAAAAAAAATTATAAATTAAATAATTAATTCACAAGTTATTTTTATCATTCGAAATTTATATTTATATTTTACATTTTATATTTCATTTTTATAGTTAAATTTACTTTTAAGTAAACACTTATAGAAATCTATTTCTTAATTCCTGGATTCTATATATATTTCATTGTATCCATTTAATTGTTTAACTTTTAATCATTTCACATATAAACGATCTTTAATAATTAAATATTTAAAAAGACTATAATATATATTATAGTATATATTATTTAGGAAGCAATTTATATTTGAAA